AGAACCTGTGATGTGCTAGATACTCTGCTAGAAGCCGAGTATTGAAAAAATGAGAATAAGATTTAATACCAGTCCTCAAAAAGATTAATAGAGTAGATAATTTTGCAGAGGGAACTGTATCTGCTGCTACATAACAAACCACTCCAAGACTTGAGTGCATATCAGGGCAATTTTTTTTTTTTTAATTTTAGAAAAGTCAGCATCTGTTATTGCTCAGTAGTCTATAGGTCATGAGGTGATTCAGGCCTTGGCTAGACTCAGTTGTGTGTCTGGTCACCTCAGGATCTTGTATGCATCTCTGCTCACCTTGGCTCTCGCACGCTGCCCATCTGTATACTGAGCTCACGTGACCTCAGCTAGGACACCTGGGCTCACCTCCAAATAGCTTCTCGTCCTCTGTCAGGCTTGCCTTCGTCAATGGTGGCAGGGTTCCAAGAGAGTGAGGGGAAGAGTGCAAGGCCTCCTGAGGCTGAGGCTCAGAAATGGTACATCGTCACTTCCGCTCAGCCTGTGTAAACGCCTCAAGTCAGCAGACCATCCAGATCGAAGAGACGTAGAAATAACTGCCACCTCTAATAGATGGACCTGCTAAGCCACATTACAAGGGATGGCAGGTAGTAATTGGAGCCTTTTGCAGTGTACCTGCCGTAGAGACAGACAGTTTCGTAGGAGGGACAAATCCTGTGTAAGGTCTTATATGTATAGTGACTGCGGCAGTAGGAGCACAGGAAACTAGGAACCATTTGAACGGAAGAAGCATAAATTTCAGGACTAATTATAATAGAAAATAGGGCTGGATTGAAGGGAAGAGGAACAAGCTGGAGAGGCTTGTGCTCCATTCCTGGAAGCTTGGGTGTTACCTTTTAGAGGGAACCATGGAAGGTTTTAAGCAAACAGGAATGCCGTCGTAAACGTTGTTATTATTTTTCTATAGGTTGCTCTGGCAACAGAATGAACTCCAGGTAAGAAAAACAGGGATGGAAGATTAGCTGCCATTGCAAAATTCGAGCCTGTGGGCATGATTATGAAGGCCAGATGAAAGCCGTGGAAAGAATCCCATCCACGTGTGCTGAACCTGACTGTGTCAATCATTCATTCAAACTGCTTTGAGCCAGGCTCTGTGTTAGGTGCGTGAGAAAGGTCACTGAGTACTCCCCTTCATGTATAAAGGCTTCTTGGGGCTCTTACACAAGTTAAACTGTAGTCGTCATCCATCTCATTCTCAGGCTTGCAGGTAAATAGAGAGGAATAGTAATTCTGACGCACATAGTAAGGAAATCATGGCTGGCAAGCGATATGGTGATTTAAACTGTGTCTGTTTTTGGCTGTTTATTTCCTCTAATATTAACAAAGCTTTTAATGATATTGAAAGTAATTCTTTTGATTAAGATAAAGAATAATAAATGAGGAGCCTGAGTAAATTTTGTGATTTTCATGCCTCTGTACCTGCCCTAAATAGTGTATGACTGTCAAGGTAATTCAGAAGCTCATGTATTATTTTTAAAATTTACTCTATTCCATTTTAGCATATTTAGAACTCTTTGCTGGATTCAGAACTACTATGAGGATAAAGTATATTTGCATATATATAAAAGAATATTTTACTGCCTATGTCAGAGTATGTGAGTCGTGATTAATTTATGGGAGACATTTAGGAGAAAATACATTAATGTTTATGAGGATTTACCAATCTGCAACCAAATATGCAATTTTAAACTAAAATTTAGTTTTGCCTTTAAAATCTTTAAAAAAAGATACTGCTTTCAGAAAATATTATTTGCGTTTTTGCCGTTCTCAGTAAACTACTCAGAGTCAGTATTCTGTTCCTGCCGAATCCCACTATGATGCATTTAATTACTCGCAGAAAACCTATACAGTTGTTGTTTTTAAGCTTAGATGCAAATCCAGCATGTTTTGTGGATTCCTTGAGATGTCTAATAATATCAGAGCCCTGGATATTGTGACTAGTGGGGTAATTTCTTCAAGCCTCTTTAGTATTCCCTGCATCTTTAGAGATTCTGTCTGGGCAATGCTATGTGAATGTATTTGGCTATTTTTACTACCAGAGTAGAGATTTCTGGAAGTTGGCACATTCTTAACAGAGGTTGATGAACAGCAGAGGGATAGAGAGCACCTGGTTTTTCTCCCCTAACTTAATGAAAATTAATAACCCTCTTGAGATTTTAATTGGAATCTAGATATTAGGATATATACGTGCATACACCTAGTTTGTGTATGACTCCTTTTCTCCTACCTAGGAAAACAGGAAATGGAGGTGGATTGAGGGTATCATCCTTGATGGACATATTGTTATAAAAGCTCACTCCATGATGAGAGCTCAGACCTGATTGTCCCCCAGGGACAAGTGAGTTTTGGATGGCCCCTCCTTTCTGTGGCTGTTCCACTGGAGCAGGGTTTCTTAACATTGCTATTGACATTTGGGGCAAGATGAGTATTTATTGCACAGGGCAGTCGTGTGCATTTTAGGATGTTTAGCAGCATCCCTGGCCTTTACTCACAGATTCCAATAGTACGCCCCATTGTGACAACCAGAAATGTCTCCAAAAATAGCCAACTATCCCTTGGGAGACAAAATTACCCACCCCCACCCCCCGCCTTGAGAACTACTGCGTTAGTGATAAAGGATCGTTTCTTACACGTGCATTTGTCCCAAGACTCAGGCAGGAGAGAGGGGAAGCTGTAAGTACCATCGCCTTCACAACTTAACCTTCTAGTGAGAAAAATACAATGAATTAGTAAACTCTTCAAATTGGTCTTTTCAACCATCCAGAGAACCTCTAGATTTCAGATATGTTTTGACCCCAAATATAGTTACTGTTTAAATTCTTTACCCTTAAAAACTAACAAACTAAAAAAAGCAGTTAGAATTACGTTATTTTTAAAATCCCATCCCCAAATGTCAAATAATCACAAACTTAGCAGAGAGCCTGTAATATGATGATGCAAACCCTCATCTCAGTGAGGCATCACTCTGTCAGTGTTGATAGAACAAGCCAGGAATTCACACGGTTTGAACCTGGGAAAAGTCTACATGTGAAGACAGTTCAGATGTGAACTGAATAATGCCTACATCAAATTGGATGAATGGAGCATGTACATTTGTTCCAATTTTATTTTTAAAAGAAAACGTTAACTAAAATATTATGGGCCAGGAAGTACAATAATGCTTTTGTCAAAATGGCAAAATTCTTTCAACATGCCTCTGATTTAAATGTTAGGACCTATTTTGCACACTAGGAAACCGGGCCTGTCTTGTTGTATCCCCAGGGCTTTATAGCATGTCTGGTTCATAGGATATGTTCTGTATAGTAATAAATGTTTGAATGAGCGATGCCAATTAATGGACTCCCTGAAATAGACTTCAGGTAAAGATTTAAAATAAATGCAAGCAAGTATTAAAATATCTTCAAAGTAGTAAAGATTCTAGAGTTTGCCGCAATAATGTAGTGGGATGTGTTGGTTGTGGTCATCCTTTCCTCTGCCCACTGCTACCCTTCCAGCTACCACATCTGTTAATGCAACTTCTAAAGTCACTCTGGACTTGTCTGCACCTTTACTGCTGTTAAAGAGCCCAGGCCACTGTCCGCTTTTGCCCATGCTCATCTCACCACCTCATTCTTCTCCTCCAATCCATCGTTCACACAAGGCGGTCAAAGGGCACGTCTTAAAATGTGAACTTCCCCTGCTTGGAACCCTTCTCTGGGTGAACTTCCCCGGCTTGGAACCCTTCTCTGGGTTTCTCTAGTCCTTGGAACGTATTCCAGAACCCTGAGTCTAACTTTTGTGACCCTGACAGCTGACGGCTGTTTGCCTTTCCCTCTTTATCACCCTTAGCTCTCTCCTCTCTCACTCTGCCAAACTCACGTTTCTTCAGATCCTTTAACTTGCCACATTCCTTCCTTCTTAGGGTCCTGAACTGCCATTTTCTCTGCCTGGAAACCTCTTTTCTTGTTCTTTGGGCAATTCTGATTGACCTTTCAAGTCTTAAGTGTCATTTTTTGAGAGAGCAATGCCCTGGACCTCCAATCGGAGCTCAGCTCCCCATCGCATCTGTGCTTTTTCCTGATACTCTGTGTTTTCCTCAGAGCCCTTAGCACAACTTACAGTTATACATTTGTGTATGTGTTTCAGTTCTGCCCTCACAAAATAACCATGCTCCACAAAGCAGGTGTATGTCTTTTTTCTTCTCTGATATGTGACCTGTACTTACTATTTGCCTAACACATAGTACAATCTCAGTAGCTATTTTAGTGAATCAAGTTCAATTTGCCTTGCAAGATGGAAATATATCAGGCTAATAATATAAATTTATATTCTCCTTTATGTTGAATCTTGAGGCCTGGGATAAGCATTTGATGTTGAAAGAGAGTAGGAATGATTTGTTCCTGCTTACTATAGAGTGGCATTTTAGGTAATATACTGTATATAACAATAGTGACTGGCCAGGTACATGTGCTAATACATGGATGATTTCTACTCTGCCTAACGGATAGAAAAACAATGAGTATGGAAGTGGTTAGGCAGCTTTTTAATCTATTTAGAACTAGGAAAGAAACTCAAGACTTAAAAAAAAAATTCTTTCCTATGTATTTATTGCTTTAGAGTGTATTCAGATTGTTATAAACCATGAGTCATTGCTTAGCAGCTTTTTGGCCAATAGGATTTCAGTATGCAGTGCATTAGTATACACTCTTGGATTGGCTTAACTACCTCTGATGTCACAATTGCCCCTTTAGGAAGTCATAATTTTCCTGAAATCACGTTGTACTAACAACAACTCTTGCTATTCTGTTTCATTATAAGAAAGATAATCTAACAAAAAAAATGCTGGCGGGAGCAAGATATCTTTGATCCATGGAGACCTTTTTCATTAACGTGCTTTATCTACTGTCAACAATTGAAGCTAGCTAGCTTCTTTACTTTCTTTAATAATTGATGCTGTTTTGTTTCTCATGTTGGTCAGTTAAGAGGCAAATGGAGGGATGAGCCTACTAGGAATTACTCCTTCAACTCACAGTTCTGTTTCATCCCGACTGTTGAGGCTTAGCATCTTTCTAGTGCTTGGCCTACCTGACTCAGAAGGAAAAGCCATTTGGATGGCCCACCTGAATATCACGTTTCAGGTGGGAAATCAGATCATATCAGAACTAGGAGAGAGCGGAGTGTTCGGGAACCATTCTCCTCTGGAAAGTGTGTCTGGTGCGGTGGCCCTTCCTGAAGGATGGAATCAGAATGCTTGTAATCCGATGACCAATTTCAGCAGGCCTGAACAGGCAGACTCTTGGCTGGCCCTTATCGAACGGGGAGGCTGCACGTTTACACATAAAATCAATGTGGCCGCGGAGAAGGGAGCCAATGGCGTGATCATCTATAACTATCCAGGTACGGGCAACAAAGTGTTTCCCATGTCCCACCAGGGGACGGAAAATATAGTCGCAGTGATGATAGGCAACTTGAAAGGCAGGCAGCTCTTGCACTTGATTCAGAAGGGAGTCTATGTGATGGTCGTCATCGAAGTGGGCAGAGTGCACATGTCCTGGCTGAGCCATTACGTCATATCTCTGTTGACTTTCCTGGCTGCCACGGTCACCTACCTTTTCTTGTACTGCGCCTGGAGACCTAGAGCGCCTGATTCTTCCATCAGGAGGCGAAGACAGATCAAAGCAGATGTGAAGAAAGCTGTTAGTCAGCTCCAACTGCGAGTTCTCCAAGAAGGGGATAGGGAACTAGAGCCCAATGAAGACAGTTGTGTCATCTGCTTTGACATGTACAAACCCCAAGATGTAGTTCGTGTTTTAACTTGCAAACATTTTTTCCATAAGGCATGCATTGACCCCTGGCTGTTAGCCCACAGGACATGCCCCATGTGCAAATGTGACATTTTGAAAACTTAAGCAACCTGGAGGATTTTCTGAAGATGTAACCAAGTTTTTCCAAAGTTAAAATAAAATGAATTCTTCCAGCACTGTATGTAGAGAGAAAATTCAACTCCAGCTTCTCTACCTGGGTACTAACGAGGGTGAAATTCATGTGTTTTTAAAATAAATCTTACATCACGCCCAGCTACTTGAACTTGTTTTTTTTTTAATTAGTTTCAATTGTTATACATTTTTGCTCTTATCCAAATAAGGACCTTAGTATATGTTAAAAGCAAGTTAGTCTTTATTTTATACTTTGTTTTCATTTTTGTTTAATATGTAATATCTAATGTTTCTGCTCAGTAAACTTCATTATAGGATTAGATCTTGATTTAATTCCCCGCCATTGTTTGCCAGAGTCCTTTAAATCCTAGCATAGTGGGTCAGCTATGGTAGCAGATTTCCTTTCTAGAAGTGACCTGGTAAATGCTTTTCTTCTCAAAATGATGGTGATTATGTCTCTCTTTGGGATGTTTTGATAATATAGAAAATAGAGATGAAATTTTGTTCAGCTGCTTTCCAGGTTGTATCTTTTGCCTGACTTTGTCTCTTCCTCTTTTCAGATAGATGCATAAACACCTGTGTAACAGTGAGAGGCTGAAAGATTTGGGTTTTGTTGTTTTGGTGTAAGTCTCTCTTTGTGGACAATATGCTAAACCATTGATGTTCAACTCAGAGGGCACTTTGTGAGTCGGCACACTATGTGCTACATTGTCTTTTTTAAAGAGTGGGTTATATGGAAATAAACTCAGATTAAATGGCCTTTGGTGAAGAAAATTGAGCATTGCAAGCTGAAGGTTTTGTGTCAATATTTTCTTTTTGTGCCACTTTTTGCTGGGTAAAAAGTTGTTGGCTCACATATCATAAGAAGTGCTAGCTTCCTAAATCCTGGTGAGACCCAACCAAAAGTGTCTTAGCACCCTGTGCAGAGAGGTCAGAAACATGTGTGTTCAAGGTCAAAATCCTTGACAGGTTTCCTAGCTGGTGAATAAGAACCACTGAGATACATGCAAGTGTATGGCAGCAGCACTGGCTGCTCGTGTTTGTTAGTTCAGAAGCCATTCTTTGGCTCTGAAGTCATCTTGTGCCATTGATCTAAGTGTAGGCAGAGCTGACGGTGTGTATGTGGGGTCTTCCACCAGAGATGTTTGTTGAATTTGGCAAACATTTTATTAACAACATGACCTTTAGTTGTCAGTGCTGTCAGTGGTTAACTTTAAGTGGGGACCTTGAAGTTCTTTTTTTAAAAAAATCAATAGCTCCATTTTTGTTTAAAATGAGTTGTACTAAACAAATACTGCTCTATTTAATCTTTTCCCCTACACCCTTCCTCCTCTTCCAAATACTGTTAGATTAACAACAGATGTCAAGGTCTTCAGAGAAATGAGATTAGTCTTTCTGTCTTTACTGCTGTCATGCCTATGCATAGTCGATGGAAGAGTGAGGAAGTGAGGCTGGCGTAATTTAACAGGATACACTACTTTTAAAAATCAAATCTGAAGCAAACCAACAAACTTCTGAGCAAGCTTTATTAAATAAATTCAGTACAATGGTTTACCTAATTAAAAAAAAATTTGCATTGTGACCAAATGTGAATTTAAAATGGTGTTACAGAGTTCACTGTTTGTTTGGGGTTTTTTTTTGGTTTTTTAACCACATATTTGGTCTTAGTGCTAATTTTTAATTATTTTGTTACAACTTGCCATTTTGTTGAAAATATTTCATTTGAAGAAAAAAGATAATCATACGGCTTTTCTTGCACATGCATTCAGGTTTTAATATGCATGCAATTGTATGAATTTTATATTTCATTTGTAGTTTAATGTGATACCTGTTAACATTACATGTCTCTCAGGGATCGAATCCATCTTACAACCACATAGAAATCACCCATAACAACATGTGAACCATTCAAGCCCATGTACCTACAGCGTGCTCTAAGCTCTTATCTAATTGGCTGTTGTCTTTTATGTCATAATCACATCACTCAACAGTCAGCAGTATCTAGAGTGAGACTAGGGTTTTTTCATTCTAAAGGTTTTCTCTCTGCCGCTAATTAAACATCTGAAACTCATAGGACGTCTTTAGCAATTTCTCACAAACCATGCTGGAAGACAGCGGAACTTTTCACCCAGAAGATCCTTTTCATTGTGTTATTTTAAATTGACTGTCAGCAGATGTGGAAGCCACATCTTTCTGTTGGTGCTTCAGTTACCAGGCAGAGAGAGAGATGAGTCTCCTCAAGATTGGCACCCCAAGACCCACCCCGGCCTCTTCCTGGCTTGTGACATTCAGTGTTCTTTGGTTTCTTAGTCAGAACTGCTGCAGAGCCAGCGCAGTCTGGACCGCTTACATGAACATCACCTTTCATGTGGGGAATCGCGTGCTGTCAGAGCTGGGGGAGACGGGGCTCTATGGAAGAAGCTCCGCTCTGAAGAGGCTGGCAGGAGTTATCGTGCTGCCAGATGGCAAAACGCAAAACGCATGCAGTCCCAACACCAGATTCAGCAGGTTGAGGAACTCAGAGCCGTGGCTGGCACTTGTTGAGCGAGGAAGCTGTCCCTTCACGCAGAAAATTAAGGTGGCAGTTGAGAAGGGAGCCAGTGGAGTGATCATCTATAACTTCCCGGGAACGGGCAACCAGGTGTTCCCCATGTCTCATCAGGCGTTTGAAGACATCGTGGTGGTGATGATTGGTAACCTGAAAGGCACGGAGATCCTGAACCTGATTCGGAAGGGAGTTCATGTTACCGTCATGGTGGAGGTGGGGAGAAAACACATCATCTGGTTGAATCACTATTTTGTCTCTTTTGTCATTGTCACAACGGCCACTTTAGCGTATTTCGTCTTCTATAATATTCGAAGGCTTTGGGTGGCAAGGATTCAGAACAGGAGGTGGCAGCGATTAGCAACAGACCTGAAGATGGCGTTTGGCCAGCTGGAGCTCCGGGTCCTGAAAGAGGGGGATGAGGAAGTAGGTCCACACGCAGATAGCTGCGTAGTCTGCTTTGAACTCTACAAGCCGAATGATACAGTTCGCGTTCTGACTTGTAAACATTTCTTCCACAAGAATTGCATTGACCCCTGGATTCTAGCCCACGGGACGTGTCCCATGTGCAAGTGTGACATTCTGAAAGCTTTGGGGATTCAAGTAGATGTGGAGGAGGGGACAGAATCTTTGCAAGTTCTGATGTCCGATGAATTGCCTGGTATCCTGTCACCTAGCGAGGAGGGGACAAATAATGAACTTCCTGCTGCCACAAGGTTAGAAAAACTGACACACGCGGAGGAGGGAGGGGAGGAGCACCCCACTTCTCAGAATGACGGCCAGTCCAACGCAGGAACAGAAGTTTGCCCTTCACCTTGACAGCATGACCTGTGAGGAAGTGGATTAAACCTGTTTGTCAAATCAGGTCCTAATACTGACAAGCACTTTGTCTGTGTGAAGTGTGGTTTTTGTGTCCTCTTTGGTTACTTGGGTAATTTTATACATTCTTTGTCGAGCCTCAAAGACAGAAAAAAAGAAAGAAAAAAAAAGCCTAGCAAGATTTTCTTGTTTGCCTTTCTTTTTTACCTTTGCTACATGTAACTTTTTGTCCGTGTATTATGCCTGTGAGTATAAATGTTTATTTCTGTGCATATACATGCATGTTAAAACCAAGGACAAACTTTTTTCCCCTAAGTATTGGTTGGTCATATATTGGGCTCTATTGTAGTAATAAAACTGTTAATATAATTGCATGTTCCTTAGACTCCAGAAACTATCAATTAAGTTTGAAAAGCATAAATTATCTTTGATGTGCTGGGAAGAGTAAAATTTATATTTTGAAATTATATGTATAGTACAGTATACTAAGTTTGAAGCCCATTGTGCTGTGTTTTCATTCTTGGCATAAACATTTTGCTGGATAGAATTTTATTACTCTTACTCTAACAGTTCTGCTGAAGCAGTTAGTACATTTTATGTGATCTGCATATGCGTAGCGATAGCAATAGTAAGAGTAAAATACTAGCACTCTTTAAGTGACTGGCAGATATTTCAATGCCCAGTATTTCTTATCATAATTACTAATAATTATTACATGTTCATAATGTGTAGAAAGCATAAAATGATAAAAAAAAATTGTGACATTTAGTCCTGGTGTATTTACTTCCCGTATGTTCTATACTACCCAGTTTATTTTTTGTCATTAAATAAAATACTTAAAATGTGCTGATTATTTTGGAGATAAGTATCACAATGTAGAAGTTATTAGCATGACATCTTGGGAGTATGGTCACCCTGTTCACTTAGTTCCAGGATCTCATAAGTACAGTGCTGGGCAGTCAAATAGTTTTGAGTGAATGAATAATAAGTATCCTTTTCATCATGAAATTATTATGTGTTAACCTGAAAAAGAAAACTGGGCAGTTTATCCCAGTTATACAAAGTAATGGGAACTTAATCCTGAAAATTTTCATCCTAAATCACTTTGACAAAATAGAAAAATTATGACTTTTAGCCCAGAATTTATTACAATTTAGCATGCATAATTTCAATGAGGAGCTTTGAACTCTCCAGGGCTGACAGTGAAATCTGAATTCCTGTGCAGCCCTAGTGAGAGATCTACTAAGAGGAACTCTGTGCGTTGCTCAGTGCAAACAATACTGGAATTCAGATACAGGCAGAACGGCGGTAGTTGGTTCCAACTGCAGCTCCAAGGAAGACTGTTAAGAGGAAGGAGGGACCCTCATAGAAGGCCCAGGAGACCTGGGACACAGCAAAACGTGGGCAAGTGACCAGGTGGGGTGATGCCTTGCTTGGAACACACAGGCTTTTTTATCCCCAACCCTAGTGAGGTTTTGTCTTCATCACAAGAGCTGCTCTTTGAAAGAACTGCATTAGCATCATAGGGGAGATGTAGCAGGAACAATTTGGAGTGTCTTATTAGTTTAGGAGAGTAAAGGCATTTCCTGAGGGACCAAGGATCACAGTGAAGAAACAGGCCCCCGAGAACCCCGTGAGAGCCACTCCTGGTAGAATCAGCTCCTAAGCCAAGATAAGCTGTCATTCTCAGACTGGCCACTGTTGGCATGTTTACCTCTAGGGGCTAGTGGCTCATGGAGTGACTTCCACTGGTTGCCCAAGAGAATCACTGGAACTATGGAAATGAATGCATGTGGTCGTGTGGCAGTCCCTGCAACCACATTTTTAGGATCATTATAGCTCTATGCACTCTTAGCAAATTTATGTGAACTACGGTTTCCATGATAGACCTAGGACTTGGAGAATTAATCATTTGTTCTTCACACTAACACTGCCATTGTGTTGTTTGTCCAGTCTTTCTCTGCATCCTCATTGGTTTCTCTTTTCGTTTCTTTTTTTTTCTTCTTTACTTTCTTCATTGTTGTCAACCTTAAACCTGACTTACCCTCACGTGTAAGAAATTAGTGTGTGCGTACTTTTATAATTAGATGTCTCTTGTTTACATGGGTGTTTAACATTTAACACCATGTGCTTGTTGTCTCGATTTGAGAATTTTCAGTGGATGTTCTTGAAACGGTGGTTAGAACCTGTGTTTGAGGTGGGAATGAAAGGTCAAGACCGTGAACTTGGAACCATCCCTGCTGAGTGCCCACCATGCCGTTGGCAGTGGACTAAGTGCTTTCCGTAGCTGTTTCTTATATCAGCAAAAAACAGCAGTTTTAATCCTTGTCTTCAGAGTGTTGAAAACAGATCAATAAACCACTTTTACTCTGGGTTTAATAACTGGGACCTGGAAATAGCGCTGACATGTCAAATGGTAGGTATTAGTTATTATAGTAGATTTTTACCCAGTCTGTGGGCTGCACAGTTTCCTCTTGTACTTAGTGATGCAAATACTATTTTGTGCCGTAATCATACGGGACGGTACTGGGAATTATTTTGCCCCTGATACCAGTTTCATAATGGATTTCCCTTGCATTTCTCCGTGGTATATATTTTTGCATTCTCTGGTAATAAAATTGATTCCCCATGCTCACCTCTGCTCGGCAGGGGGTTGATGTTCCTTATAAAGATTAAACTTTCTTTTTTCTTTATTACTGGGATAAATTAGGCTTAATATTTACTAAAGTGAAGATGATTCTAAAGCACTTACCACGGATTGGGTGACACTGTACGTGAATTTATTTACACAGTTCCTCGTATCACGCTTATAGTATGCCTGTGTGTTGCTGTAGAATCATTACACTGCATTCATCCTGTAGAGAGAGGTTGGTCAGCCACAGATGTGCAGTCATGGGAGACTTCAGGGACGTAGTCAGTCATGATCTGGCAGTTCTGATGGTGTTCAAGCTCAGTGTGCAGTTAAAGTGTCTCCCTCCTCTGTGAAGTCACTGGTGTTTGAAGCAGCACACAGGAATCAGGTGTGGAAAGGATCGGAGCTTGACGAGGCATTGAAGTTTGCCTTCAAAGAGGAAGGCTTCACCCGCTGAGACTGTGGAGGAGTTATTTTAGTGGGACTCTGTGTTTCTGCTCCATTGTTTGCTATGAGCTCCAGTTTTTATATTTTGAAATATTTTAGAATTGTTTATTTGCTTTTGCATTTACTTCATTTTTTAAGTGCTTAGTGATCAAAAATAAGGATTATGGGTTGTTACAGTTACTGACACAGAACTATCTTATAAAATAATACATGGGTTCCTAAACCACAAGGTGTTTTGGGAGGAGGAAAGGGATAATGTACTTAAGGAGATGAGCTGCGCCGTATACACAGGTGTTAGAGGTATTCCATTGCAATCTCTCCACAAAAGTCTCCTGTTTTCACAGCTACACCACAGTTTATAACACTTCTCTCCGCAGTTATTCTCCATCTTTGTCTGACCTCCCAGATACTGTGCTCCTTTATGATTTCAGCTGCTGACATGACTTTTCCTCGTCAGGGATGGCCAGGGTAACCCGAATGTCAAAACTTCTCTACGCCTGTAACATCTCCCCATTCAGCAGCACACCATTGTTACCATGCATCAGGGTTGGTCATTTTTTGAAAACTTCCCAACTTACAGCTTCTTTTTCAGAATTCCTTTTCGGAATCCACCTCTCGTTTCCACCACTTGCTCTTGGTTCTCATTCCCAGCCGAGGTTCCCTTAACCATCCTTTCCCAGCCCACCTTCTACAGCTTCAGCCAGGGTTTAGGTGTAAGCCATCTTACCCTTGCTCTGCCAAGTGCCTCTGCAGTCTTTGCCTCCTAGGTTTTTTCTGCAGGACCATTTGCCTACCCCGAGTCACCTCTACTGATTTCCACCAGATCTTTACTTCTATGTAAAAATCCTTTATTACTCTCTTAACTCCTTTTATTGTTATTATTCCCCATAGAGTAAGTAGTACTTCTCAGCCTGGGCTGCACATCAGAATCACCTGGAAATCTTTTAAAAATGCTCAGTGCC